CAGTGGTCACACGTTTCCCTCATAAGGTTGGTGGAGACCAAAATGAGAGCTAAAAGGAGAATGAAAGCTAGGCTTCCATCTGTTAACTCGCCACAAACTCATTCCTCATATAAAACATATTTTTATTGTGCTTGACGATAGCCAGAAAAATGAGCCAGAGTTTTCCCCAATCTGTTGTCCCGGACCAGTTCTTTAAAAAGGCAACCCTAAATTAGAACAAATAGGACTTATAATCAGCACGTTCAGATAATGCATCCAAGCAAATACCCAGATCAACACAATGCACACCCATCAAGCAAACACTACAACCCAAATATGATTTCTTATAAGGTAAAGCATCAATGCTCTATTCGCTGTACACTAATTAATGCTGGTTTAGGCTGAATTGTAGCTTCAGCAGCTTGGAATCAAGAAGGGGTCTTCAAAATCCACAGCCTGTTCAGTACAAACGTTCCTCAGTCATGTTTCCCTCGACAGTTTTTTTTGTTGCTGGCATTCACATGTAGGCTTGTTGCTTGGACACGATGAAAACAATAAACTTCCAAATAACCGCCTGGGTAAAGATATCCACTTGATCTGGCTCGCTCACGTTGCCGAAGTCTCATGTAGCTTCAGCTGGAGGATCAGCAGGAGAAATGATTGTTATGGTCAGTGGGTGCCAACATACATATAAAAAGACCACCGAGGGTCACCAAGGACAACAACACTGATTCAAAATGATCAAAATGTTGTTAGGTATGCAATTAATGTCCTCTGAAAAAAGCTGATTATAATATTTCATAAGTTACAGTTAATTTGCATGTTAAGAAGAACAAAATAGATGCTTATCTTCAATACAAATTGCAGCTTTTATCCCACATATGTGTTTAAAACCACTGAATCCTGTCATTTTCCATCATTTCAAATACATATTCTTTATTATATTCATCCATCCATCCATCATCTATACACCGCTTAATCCTCACTGGGGTTATATTCATGTTTCATAATAATAAAAACATTTTATCATGAAGTCATGCGTTGCTTTCTGACTTGTTTCTGAACATGTTATTTTCAGAGCAGTATTTAGGGGAGTCCCACTGCCCCCCTAAATAGTGTGCGGTACTTGAAATTAGCACCAATGGCAAACATGAACTCAGAAATTAGTTCTGGCAAATTAAACTGCACGGACTGACTCGAGCGCTGTTGACAGGGTGATTTCAAAAAGCACAAACTGAAACAGAAGTATGTTAAGTATTTAGGGACAAAATGACTGACAAAGACATAATAAAATGAGATTGATGGAATAAAGCACCCGTGAGATGGGACAGAAAGTGTAGCTCTGGGGTCTACAGGTGCCCCAGTCAGGAGTTAAGATGGAGCACAAAGAATCCGAAACAATCGTTTGTTCAGCTGCTTTTCTAAAAGCCTGCTTGATCCTGAATTAAACCACCCAAACAAATTTCATTAAAACGGCTTTTCTTTTCATATTTTTTTCATTCAAGTCTTGCCCCATACTTATTAAATCACCCCCCCTGCTCTTACTTTGTGGGGGCCTGACAGACTTTGTCCCACGATTCAGTCTGAGCCTCATGAATCAGCTGCTGCTGAACATTTTGATTGCCTTCTGAATATTCAGTCACTCCGGTCAAATTGTCTGAATTACCAGATGTCGTTTCCCTTTTTGTCGTCTCACCAGCGTCTGCCGAGTGGCTCGTGTGTGTGAAATATTTCAAATGAATTCAAATTGAATCCTGAGCCGTCACATGAAAGACGATCACGTCAGAGAAAAAGAGGATTAAAGGATCTCTCGGTGCCAATCCCTTCATATGTATAGGAAAGAGTGACAGAGTCCTTCCCTCTTATCTACTCTGGACTCTATGGACCATAAAAAGTTAAAAACGGATTCTGCCGTGTGATGAGAGTCTGATGACTGCTGTAATGTACCGACGTGAGGTATTAATTTAATCTATAGATTTTTTTTAAAAGCCTATAAGAATGACAGAGTAAAAAAAGAAAAAAAGCACCCAAGACAGCTGAATGAAGCACCTGAATGGGAATCACTATTTGGGATCTTGGGAAGAAAAGTGCTTTGTGACTTTTCAGAACAAAACTTTATCAACTGTTATGATAGTTGGGGAAACAGCACAAACGTGGCCTGGTGTTGCCGTGATGACTCATAACTTTCTCTCTCTGTAAATGTAGAGCACCTACATGCAGCCTTTGTTACGGGAAACAAAGAGCAGAGAGCAGAGGAAGCTGCCATGAACACCTTTGTGTGTCCCGACTGCAGCTTTCCAACATTTCAGCTGTGCAGATGTGACTTGTTTTTTTCAGAAGTGCTGAGAGGAAAAATTCTAAACAACGGCGTGTACAGTCAGTACTTTTTTTTTTTGTAGCTCTCCACGATGTTTAGTTTGGGGTTTGCAGATGGGGTTCATGTTACAGGTCAGCTCAGGGTAAAGCATTTAGCGGTTAGCATTGTTGCTGGAGACTGAGAAATGAGGCCAAGTCGACGGAATTTGTTTGTAAGTGTAAAATGACAAGAGCTTTGATATGTGTTTAATATGTGTGTGTAAAAGGAGAGCAAATAAACAGCGGTGTGTTCGCTGACTGTTGTGCATCCTGATTTGATGCACTCAATTACTGATTAATGTGCTGTAGTGCATTTGAGTGATGTGACTGCTCAGATTAGGTGAACTATGCCTCTGAACTGAGTGTTTCAAATCAGCAAAGCGATTCATGATTTCAACCTCTACTAGAGACGAGTTTACAGCAAACGACAATTTTTTTAAAAAGGCAACTGACTCCGTCCCTCTAATCAGTTTGAATCCTTTAAGAAGGAGCTGCTATTCGGTAACACACTTTTCTAAATGCCACTTTTCAGATGGGCAAGTCTAACTTAGCAAAACTGCATCAGATTGGGCAACTTTTGCAAACCGATGATTGTGACGTTTACATGCACTTCATGCCGTAACCGGCCAGCTGTGCAGCTTTCTATTCGCCTTGCAACTGTTTGTGCAGTTTGTCATGTGTACAACCGAGTCCGACTATGTGAACAAGTTCCGGGAGAGACTGTTTGCAAATATACGTCGTTATATCCATATTTAATCAGCACCAACCTCCCAACCACCTCCGTAACAGCCAGGTCTCCCGTCAGCCTTCGGGTGTGGCCATTTATAAAATAAACACTTCTGAATTGTGACGTGGTCGGACAGCACGTCTTATAAACAAGCTCCGACAGGCCATTTCCCACCACTTAGCATTTTTGTACTCTCTGCAGGTGCCTGGACTATTCAGACACACATTTCTACCACAGTTTTCTATCACTTCAATAAAGAAATTATAAGAAGCTACCTCTAGCCATTACATGTTGCATTGTGGAGTTTAAAGACAAGTAGGTATTTGGGACGATGCTTTGGAAGAAGAAAAAAAAAACCTAAACCTTGACCTTAACCCTCCGACAGAGATCAGGAACAAGGTAGATGTGGACAAACCTAGAACAAATATCTCCAGCCAGACATGAAGCAAGGACATGGACATTCATTGCCATCCTAAACCCGAAGCGCGAATAAAGTACATCTTGTTTAATGCCAAGTAGACCACCAACATATACCTTGTGATTAAATCACAGAAAAAAAAAACAATTGCTGTTTAAATTGCAATCAGAAAGAAGTTAGGAAGCAGTTCACCTCCAGTGTGAGCTGCTTCACCCAGCAACAGGTTTGTACAGATCATTTAAAACAGACTCATGTGTTCATTTTTACTCATTTATGCTTTTTTTTCTTTTTTACAAACACTGAATGAGCTTCATAATAGAGCCGAGGTTTAAAGTTTCTAACTACAGGTGCCCATTTTGCTCATCTTCCAATAAGCTTCCTTCCGTCTGCTGCAAATATATCTGACTTGAAAAGCTTCCAGACTGATAAAAACCAACCTGACATCACATTCAAGTTACCAAAAGTTCAAAGAGACTCTAGAGGAGATATGTATCAGAGTCATTCATCTAAATAAGCAGGAGCCTTTAAAAAACACAACCAAGTTACCAGCACACTAAGAGAAAACAACCCTTGAGGTGAGTTTCACTTTTTGTATTTTCGTGTTTTATTTTTGCGTCTCTTCAGCTGAGCCATAACAACATATTCCATAAGAGAAGAGGAGAAGGTCGCCTGCTGTCGGAGCTCGTTTTCATTTCGTTCGGTCAGCATGTGGTCGAACACAAACCAATAATCACTGTAATAAAAGTGTCGCCTGCAATGGAGCCAGTAGGTGCAGTGTGTTGTTTGGAGAATAATTAAATCTGTTAAAAATGTGTTTATCGTTCAAAACAGTGGAACTAAAAGCGATTAAAACTTTAAAAAGCATTACGATCCATAGAAAAGAAGGAGCCCATGACTTGTCAAACTCACTCATCCATTTATACTGAGCACCTTGTGAAACACAATATTCCTGTCTAAGAGCTAGAAAAGACTCTTTCTCTTGATCTGAACATCATGAAATAGATGAATAGGACAAAGTTAAAGGTGCTGCAGCTGCCCTCCAATTGGCTGCAAGTCCACCCTGAAAATATACCTGTTCCCAACTACACTGCTTAGTTTAATAATTTAAAAAAAAGATGATAGTGTTTACACAGCACACAGGCTGGTAGGAGCTTCTGCTAATCCTACAGTACGCTTCATACAGTCTGTCATAACAAAGCCACATGTTGGGGCATTAATGATAAACTGGGTTAAGTGTTTTATGGGCTGCACATAAATACAGTTATTAAATCATTTTATAGACACATAAAAGCCACTGCTGTTTTTGCTGTAAAGAACAAAAAACTTGTCATCTGTGTTAAAATAAAGGGGATGAGTGGCTGAACTGGGTTTATTAAGCTCAAGACATTTGTTTCACACCGTATTTGCTCAATCTGAGGATTTGTCTTGTTATATTTTTGACACACAAGTCATAGTTTATCCCCACAATGCGCTAGTATCTTCATCACACACACAAATGCAGCCACAGTGTGAGAGACTCACCTATGATGAGCCACAGGAGCGTCTGTTTGTGCGCAGCCGAGCCGGTCAGAGGAGCCATCCTGTCGCTCTCCAAACGATCCGCCGACTGAACTTTTGGGAGGGAAGCGAAGGGAACGGGAGCTCAGAGAGTAATGGCTAACATCATAAATGACTTGCTGCCTAATAAATCCATGCAATGCGGCCGTCCGGTCAGTCAGCCGCAACACAAGCCTCCACTGTATCACCTTGCGTAAACTGCTCGGGGGAGAGCCAAGACTCGTCCTCGTTCCTGCTGCACTTCAACTCCCCCGAGTCGTCCTGTCACCGATCGTATGTCACCCACACATGAAACATATTGGGTCGTAAAGTAGGGAGCTGTCTGTCCAACAAGCCGTCCTGAGGTTGTTTTTTTTTTTTTTTTTTTTTTTTGGAGGAATCCGGAAGGCGCAACGTGAAGTGTTGGAAACTATTGCTGTGCGCAACGGGACGCAGCAGTATCCTGGGACCGCTGGAGCTGACTGTGGAAATTGTGTGAGGGTTCACTGCTTCTCCCGAGGACACGGCTGCGGGTGAGCGGCGGGGACACAGGATAGACCCAAACATATGAGAGTGCAGGGAGGGGAGGTGAGGCCGATCTGGAGGAGGAGGAGGGGGGAGGAGGAGGCGCCGGACTCACGATGGTACTTTTCCATTGGTTGATCTGGTACATTGGAGCGCCCGGAGTGGTCTGTGACAAGAAGAAAGACAGAAGAAGAAGAAAAAACTTTAAATAAACAATAAATAATCCATAGAAATAAAATGCATAAGACGTGTGGTATAAATTCTAAACAAAATTATTGAAAACTGTTGTGACAACACGTGACAGAATAAAGTTCAAGTGAAGTCACGGTTAAAGAAAAACTATTGATTTTCATTTTTTGTATTTTAATTAATATTTTCAGCGCTGCGGCAGGAGATAAGTTTCTTCATCCAGTATACAGAGGTCATATTACCTCATGAGAACAATAAGTCATTGGATTGTTCATAACACTGAGCTGTGTGGTCCACCTGTGGTGCACTCATCAGGACAGGTGCACGTTCTGGATCTGTGTGGCTCAGCGTTGTCCAACAGCGCCATCTAGTGTTTATGTGAAGTATTACAGAGCAAAGTTCCATACAAACTTTGTTCATATTTAGCTGATATAACAGTTCTTTTTTTCTTGAACTTATTTCACATAAAACCTGTAGGTAAGATGATAATAAATAGATTTGACAGCTTCAGTATTTCCTTGTTTTTATGTCCTAAACTGTTGAGATTAAAGGGAAAAAAGGGATATACTGCAGGTAAACATAACATGTTTTCACATTGTCAAGAATTCAAGGATTCAAGGATTCTTTATTGTCATACCTGGACACATTTCCACATGACATGGCACCAAAATTGTACTTGGGTCCTGGTCCAGGCCGATAGAAATAAATAGAGAGAAATAAGGGGAAAAAATACAAAATAAATAAAATAAAATAAGAAATAGGGGGGAACTTACAAGCACTTACATATATATAAGTAGTATTAATAATACAGATTAAATACAAAACATATGCAGGCCTTCCTCCTTGTTATATGCTCACGGCGTCACTCCACCTTTTAGGTTTTTTTGAAGTCTTTGCGAGGAAGTCATTTTCCCCATCAGATATATTTCCTTTATTCTCTCAGTCCACATATTGTGCGTTGGGGGATCTGGCTTCAGCCACCAAACTGTGATGCATTTAATTGCTGTTGTTAGTAATATTTGTAGGAGATATTTTTTTTGGCTCTTCCTTCGATGCCTTTTGGTGATAGACCCAGCAAAGCCACTGCTGGGACCGTTGTAACATTTCTACCAAATACTTCTTTGAGTGTTGCGAATGCTTTTTTTTGTGCTATTTGACGCATATAAAAGGTATTCCTCTTTGGCTGCAGTTCACTTTGAGGTCACATTAGTTTGTATCAAAAGATGTAAAGATGACTCCTCTACATGAGCCAAACAACTCTGTGTGCTTTTAAAACCAGCCTACAGAAGAATTCCACAGACAGCAAAAACTCAGCAAGTCATGTCATCTCCCACTGACAGAAAGTCAAGACCAGAAGGAAAAGAACAATATTTCCTCTCGGGGACTCACAAATAAGGTCAGCCAGGAGGCCGTGCCACTGGAAAAGAGGGTTACATCGGGTCAACGAAGGTTCCAGAGGACAGAACAGAGAATGTCCACACGCCTAAATGCATCAATTGCAAATAAATAAATAAATAAATAAATGCTGCCAGATGTCACAGAAATGATGACTGTGTTCCCCTCTGCTGAGGAAACAAGAGAAAGACTGATTAGAAAAGGCCTCTTGTAGTGTATTAATACATCACATTCTGACAGAGGTTTCCCACACAGGAAAACGTTTCACCTCAGAAATAGATTATCATCTTATCGGACGTTCATTAAATTCTGATCTGTAGCTCCAAAAACCCAAACACGTCCCTCCCTCTGCCATCCCCAGGAGGAATAAGTCACAAAATGATAAATCAGTCTAAAAGGATCTTGTCCAGCTTGTGAATAACAGAAGCAACACAAGAAAAGCAGGCGTACCAGTATGTGCTGGTCCCTATTTTTTTCTCCT